GTTAATATATGATTGTTGTTTTTTGTGTGTCGAAATTGAGAAAAAAAACAACTTACAGTTGTCGAGAATAAAGGCTTTCATCGATTTCAGGAGTTTTTGTGGATGATGTGGACGTTTGATGTTGTAGAACGCCGGCCATTTGATAAGATGTTGTCGTTTGTTGTGTTGTTTGTGAATTATTATTCTCACTATTCTAAAATATTCAATCAAATAAAAATGAATAAATATTAATCTATATATATGCACGTTCTCTTTTACAATGCAAGTTTTAACTACGTCAAATGAAGCAACGAACGTCACACACTACATATTTCACGCCTTCATTCACCCTTGTTGCTCTAATTAAAAAAAACCAAGAAGGATGAAAGAAAATTCGTAGAGAAGGCTAATATAGATGTTCTCCTGCTACAGTCATAATCTGCTCGTCAGCATTCTACTTCCATCCAAAAAATAAAAACAAAATACCAATAATGGAGATGAAGAAAAAGAGTATGGGAGCATTTAAGCAAATATTCTCCAACGTCTCGAGTGAGTCAGATAAAGAGAAGGACAGAGCGTCAAATGCAATCTTACTGTTGTTTCTTTCTCTTTTTTTTCTTTCTATCGTTGATAGGGCAGCAGTTGTAGCACAGGGGAAAAAAAAATATAGGGGTGACGCTATCGTTTTTTTTTTGTCGTTCTCTTTTCTTTCTCTTCCTCCTATCACCTGTTACCGACAAACTATGTAAAGAATGGAAAGAAGAAAAATGGAGGGAAAAGGCAACAACACAGTAAAGCATTTTCTTTTTATTTTAAAAACAGATGTCAGTCAATGTGAAAGAAATAATTAGTGATAAAAGACAATCTATAACACTTACATAAATGAGTGAATGAGTATTATTAAATGTAGATTTAAAACAGAAATTAGTTCGAAAATAAACCATTATTTATTACTATAATTTTTTAGCGCAAAAGAAATAATAAGGAAAAATAAACTATTCTTCGAGAAATTCCTTATTCAAAGGGTACATAAACAGAAATAAAATAAAATAAAACTCAAAAACCTACCCCATTATAATTCATTTCTCCATTGGTATGTTCCATAGGTTCAACAAGATTTGTTGAATTATTATTTGATGACATGATGGTGGGATCACTACCGTTACTAATAAGTGTTGTTGATGATTTAAATTTTTTTGACTTAGGCAAATCAAATGCCTCGTGACGTCGACTATCACTATCTTCGTTAATAATCGTATGTTCTGGTTCAGACACTGTAAGAGTTGTAGCTGTAGTTGTTGTAACTAAAGTTATTTCGTCTTGATTTGATGCAGAGCCTTGTGGCGTGGTAGACATTAGCAAATAACGATCAACATCGGACTTTGTCAAATAATAGATGCGTTACTCTCACCGAACAGGTGTCTTTTATGTTAATAAAATAAATCTAAATGTAATTAAAAAAATAAACAAATATTATTTTTATTTTCATTCAAATCAATCATAAATTCATGTGAAATAGAATAAATAAAATATGCTGTCTATTCGACAGGGTTTTATATCGATAAATTTCTCTCGAATCCGCCTACTTGAATTACAGTAAAACTACATTTCTATCTACATTCTCTTCTCATATAGATGACTGTAATGGAATGAGGACGATTGGACGAATAACTTTTTGTACTCTGTCGTCCGTCCGTCCGTTATGTATCTTTTAATGATGACGATAAATTACGATGTGAGCATGCCATGTTCCAAACATATGGGTTAGTAAAAGTAAAGAAGAGAGAGAAGTAAACGAAGAGAAAAAAAATAGGATTACCCAATAGAATGAAAGTCTATGCCCACGAAAAAGTCATCTAATTACGAGTTTTAATTATTTTAATTAAACATCTAATGTTTATGATATAGTAAAAGAATTTAATCTAAAATAAGAATGATATTTTCATAATAATTAAATTTTGATTTGTTATAATCAATGAAATATGTACATTGATTGTAGCGCTTACTTGTATCTAACAAATAAACAATTTTGTTGTTTTTTTTTTGGGGTTTGGAAATATTATTCATATAGAGTTAAATTTAGACGATTGGAAAGATTTTCTTAGATTATTGATCGGTTGTGACATAGTTCAAGTAGTAATTTGATTATGGCAGGTCATTCTTCATGGGAAGAACAACGTTATTTATATCCGCATGATATTCGAGATAAATTTCCTATTTGGGAACGTGAATTTAATATTGAACCATTTAAATATGAACGATCGCGTCTACCATTTCGTATTACAAATGAAGAACGTTTATGGCGTAAACAATGGCTTCAAGATCAAGTTTTAGCAGCTGATGAACCAAAATTTGTACCAAATTTAAATAAAATTCATAAAAATCCCGTTCGTTATAGATGGATGACTTTTTGGGATGGTATATTTAATCGTTTACGTCCTGTTGTCGTATGTATTTAAGGACATTTTTTCATATAAAATTTAATTGAAATTCAAGCAGAAATTGAGATATATTGAAATATGATCACCTTGATCCATAATTCAGAGTAATTAGTCAAATAAATGTGAGATTTGAATTTAAATTATCTTGGTTTGTTTGAAATATCAGGAGGAATAAGTGTTTGTTTTTTTTCTTTTCTGGATAGTTTTATCGAATGATTTGAATGAAGATTAAATTAAACTAGATTTTGAATTGGATGACCTTCTAACTCTTTTATTTTTATATCATATAGGGTAATACTGCAGCATCTATGCTTCGTCAAACAGTTCCAAAATTACTCATTATCCAATTAGGTATTTGGAGTTGGTTATACATGGTTTTTTACCATAAACAAGTAAGTGGTATTAATCTTATATGCCCGTTTGCTTTTAGAAGTTACAATGTACCAAGGAATATAGAAATAGAGGATATAAGCTTTTGCTTTCGAAAAATATCGACGTTTTAGTCTCTTACATCCTCAAAAACAATGGGAAACTCTGTTAGAAAATTGAAACCGTTAGACATTCTGTCTTCTAACAGAACTAGACACAAAATGATAGCATACTGACTGATTTTTGTAATACGATGAAGAGTATTATGACACACACTTAAGTTCTAATGAATGATAAACTAAAAAAATATATTCATGGATAAAAGTCTTTCGCTATTATTTTCGTAGTCAACTCTTTTGGTTTCAAGTAAACATTGATTACAAGTATGCGTTAACTACTGCACGTTAGTGTAGTGTATGATTGATTGATTACGACCTACTCCAATGATGAATGTGCGTTCTTCGATACAATCAACCAACAGTGCAAATAAGTTTTTTGATAGAATACTTTATAGCTGAATTATCTCTGAATGATTTACTAGTTTTGTTTTATCTGTATTGTTATCACCACCTATATCGCATAATCGGAAGAGCTTCGAGTCGATAACGAAAAGATTTTAATAACTCAAATCAATAAAATAGTTAGCAGATACACAAAAAAGAGAAGATAACTCAGTTGTGAAAATATTCTATTAACCAACACATTTTAGTTTTGCTCAACTGTATTGAAAGACGTATAGTCTTCATTGAAGCAAATTGAAATGAATCATATACTACATTACAATAAATTACCTCATTCCTCCTTGTTACTAACATTTACTTGTGATCAATAGGGTTCCATAAAAGAACAATAAGGGTGAAAGATTTTTGCGCAGAAGTGTATGTTACAAAATTTGCTTGTTTACAATGGAAATGCATCTGTAGTATTTCACTGTTTAGTTTAGAGAGCGTAACACAGACTCACAAGTTTTTTGATGAAAATTCAGTTTTATTAGATTGACTCCAACGATGGCTTACAGAGGCATTCGGACACAAAACAAAGTCGAAGTCAAATTTAGCATCGATTTTTTTCCATTTCGACTCTCTTTATAGACTTTGACGATTATATTAACAAATCTATTGTTATTATAGGAATGGGAAAAATGGGGTGGATGGCAAGTTTATGGTTACAAAGGAAAATATCTTGCTGTAAGTATTGTATAGTTCTTTTTTTTTATTGATTATTAATATTCAATGTTGTTAAATAGAATGTTAGTCCATGGAAAACACTCGATTCAACTGATTATGCCGATCGTGGTTTTAAAGAACGCACAACAAATCGTTGGGACGATCATAAATATTAGACATTTTGATCCTTCTGCTCTTCATTTTTTTTGTAATCCCAGTTTTTGTTTGGTTGTATATTAGATCATCCTTAACAATATCCTTTCTCCTAAAAATAGAGAAACAACATGATGATGTTTATTATAGATTTTAATTCAATGGATTTTCAACGTGATTCAATTCGTTCATTATCAAATTATGAAACATATCTTGTTGTTAAACAAATACATGAAACAAATAATGAACATGAAAATACCAAACGTGGTAAAAAAGGACAAAATCGTACGCTAGAACATCGTAATTTTGGTTTACATACAGTTACATATGAAACATTAAAATATCTTGAACAAACTCCATGTATTGAACAAAATCCTGATATTATAACTCAATTTTGTAATGAAGTTAAAAAGTTCGATTTAAAAAAAAATGAAATACTTCAAATACTTAATTTACGTCCAACAACACCTGTCGAATTACAATTAATTATTGAAGATTCAGAAACGCGTTTAAGTGAAGCGCAAAGTAATGAATTAATTGATTTAATACGAACACAATTACCACCTGTTGGTGGTTCAAATCAAACAAATTTGCCTAATGAAGCAATGGAATCATGATATTATTTGTTTTTTCTTTTTTTTTCTAGATTATATATATTTTTTTTTATTAGAAAACAGAAATGTCAACAAAACAAGATTTACAATTAAAGTTGAAAACATTCGGTTACGATCTTAATCCTTATACTTCAAAAGAAACTCTTACTAATTTATTACGTCTTCATTCGAAAGTATGAAATATAAAAAGAAAATATGTTTATAAGCAATACTTTCATTTTAGGCAGTTGAAAAAGGAATTAATGTCCCTAAAATGAATGATCATGAACTTCGTTGTTGTTTAAATGAATATAAAATTACAACAGGTCCTGTGATAAGTAAGTGGTTTTTCGTCTTCATCATTTGAACAATTAAAAACTGAAATAAATATAAAGATTTTACACGTGCAATCTATCAACGTAAACTTCTTGAAGCAATAACCAATGAAAGTAGTGAAGGTAAAATTAATTAATTTAAATCATTAAATAAGTATTAGAAATTTTTTAGGAGCCGACGATGAAGTGGAAGGTAATGATGATGAATTTCATACACCACCAATCTCTGGCGAGGGTATGGTCACACGAAGTGGAAAAACACTGTTTTTTAATACACAATAAACAATTCTTGCTTGTCTTCGTGAAATATTTTTCTGTCTATTAAAACTGTGTATGTTTTATAAACAAATATTTTTTTGTTTTTGTCTTATTTTTTAGCCGGATATTTTCATTTTTCTTTTATTTTGTATTTAAAGAAAAACATGTATTTATTTTTAACTAATAAACTAGTGCTCAATAAACTATTAATAGAAACAGATAGAGAGTTACAATTCAAAAAAGAAATAAGCGATCTTAACAAAAGTACATCAAAATGAAAAATATATTCTTGACTTTTAATAATATTTACAGCATATGAAAAATAGTAATGGAGATATTTCAATTTCTTATGAAAAGCTTAAAGAAATTTTTTTCTCTATATGGTCTGATAGTAAAATACAATGCTCTACATGTTTGTGATTGTTGAGCATTCTATTAATAAATTCATAATAATAAAATTTTGATAAGAGCTATTTGTGATGATATGTGCCCATAATATTACATTATATTTGGTCGTCGATATGTATTCTTTCTGTTCTTTTTCTTTCTTCTTTTTTTCTCCTCTTCTCCAAAGCGTAGCCCTCTATACATATTAGGGTATACAAAAAATAGTAGGGATAGAACAAAAAAAGAATTACAATAATAAGTTCATCAAGTCTATATTTCATTAAGCATCGGAAATAATCGCCTTAATGGTTCAGACTTCATTGTACTTATTGAGGTCACTTATCAAACTCTTAAGAATTCATGAATTTGTTTTTAGCATGATGCAACGATTTGAAATTGTTATGATCACTTAGATTTTATTCGATTAAATCGAATAACAAATAGATCTCATGATTCTAGGCCTGGAGAATTATTTAAGTATAAATTTGATGGACTTTTTACTGTATTTCTCTTTTTGTTTTAGCGACACTACGTTTTGTGAATACTCTTATATGTATGGAAGGTGTAGGGTTTAGAATAGACAGGGAAAAAGAAAAGAGAAGCACAACAAAGAAAATACACATCGAAGACAAACTATGATGTAACATTAGTATC